GGCGAAAAAGCCGTGGAGGTGGAGGGGGGGGTCGTGCCTGGACCCCATTCGAAGGGGGGGGGGGTCGTACTCACACCGACATTTCGCACATCCCCATGCTGTACCCTGAAAAGGGATGGTGCTTCGTCCGCGGTATCCTCAAAGCTCAATACTTGCGTTGATACAAAATCTCGCGGCGAACACCCGGTCAGATGTAAAGAACTCCCAGACTCGAGATGGTGCAGACAAGAAGCATGTTTGGCTATGCTTAGGAGTGTGACGGGCAGTGCGGCAGCACACGAAGTCTGGAGACTGTACACGGGTATCGCTAGCCTTCAGCTCCGTTTCTGTGCACCCTTCACCCGAGCATGTAGCACACCACTGCATTAGCGGACCCATTCACCTCGCATATGGCAAGGACCACTTTGCTCGGGAGCGAGTGACCAGGCTGTCTTCAGAAATAACTTTTAACGTTCTCGGTCCAGAGTTTTCTTTATTCAAAAGAACATTCGTCTTAGGTGTTGATTTCCCGATTGCCAGAGATATGCGCGTAGTGTTGAACGTATCGCGCAGAGCTTTCTTGGCTTTTCTACTTCACTGCTGAACTTTCCAGTTTTCGTTCTTTGCAATGCATACTAGCTTGAGCCGTTCTAGGTGTAGCTGCAATGAGCTTCCAAGTACCTTAAATGTGTAAATGTCGAATTTATTTGCATTCGAAGTCACTATGCGTAGTGAGCAAGTACCTTGGCGCCACTTCGATAGTACACGTCACAGTTGCTGGAGGTTTCTGGTGTCTTGATGTTACTAATTTATTCGTCCAGAATTTGGTAGGCAACTCGCACGCCAGACGGATTCAATATGGCCAGTTGCCGGCATAATTATGTCAGTTGTCGTATGGCTACAATCAGATGTATGCTTGTTCGTGTGGCGTATGAGGTGACGGTTGGTGTAAAATGGACCTTTATGACGGCGGAGTGGTGGTACAGATGAGTAAAACCGTGCTGTCAGAAATTCTTTGGCATCATTGCAGCGCACATTGAAGTGCGAGAGCAGTACGCTCCTCCACGGACCTGCACATTTCAGATGGATAGGATATACCTCTCAAGGTATCTACGGTGTACCGTAAGGAAATTGGCGGCATCATGAGCCGCGGGTGGCTTGCAACTTCCTGCATTACTTTTTCGGTTGTTGCCTGTTGCCTTGGTGCTTTTCCTCTTGTTATCCATGGAGAGAATTCTGGATCAAAGTCCAAATCAAAACCTTGAATTTTAGCGAAGTAGAAGATCAATGGTGTCAAGATTATTCATCTTGAAATCTAGAATTTCAATTTACTGAAGTGTAAAATTTCAGTTCCGTAGTGTAGACAAGGAAGATCTCAAGGACACTATCACAGGAGTGAAACGTAGTGCTCTCGCATGGATGAAAGACAAATCAGGAATATTCTACTCCAAATTTCCCGATCATAAGGTGCATTTGTCTTGCTTCGGATACATCTACGGCCCACATCTCTGGGACACTCTCGCCGTAACTGCGTACTTCGTTTGAACATGGCGTAGAATAAGGTATTCATAAAAACTTCCATCTCGAAACAATTGCTA